ACCTATAGCGCCGCAAAATCAACAGAATAGATGCAATGATACTTGGTGTTACATTCTTAATTTTGGTACCATCTGGTATGTATCTTCACTGTAGCACTGAAACTTCCTGAATATTTGCTCTATCAGAAACGTTTGCTTTCTATAATCGATATGGTATCTTTGAAGACTTTGGTCCCATACCCATATCACACATGGACATGAAACTGTTCCTTCTCAATATTTTGCCCCTCATTCTTGCGGTTATTACCTCGATCGTGTTTAACGGTGTGTATAATCCTTCCTATCTCTACCATTTCGTTTCTCTGATGGTCCTTTGATAGTCTTGACATTGCGTAATGTTCTCATACGTCGAAGAAAAGGGTCAGGCGGAGATGCGATAGGAAGGGCCAACCCACCCATCCTTAAACACCTACTCCACACGATTTCGGGCACATTATTGATGCTCTTTGGAAATATATGGGCATTTTATTTCTACTTTAGGGACTATTTCCTGCACATAAATGATCACGAAAACTTTCCTTATCTATTCGTGCCCCTCAGCGAGATCATGAAAACTCGTAACGACAAATCCTTCTATACGAGATTCATCTTGGATACGATGCCGGATGCAATCAGAGCCAACGGTGTCTTCTACACGTCTCTTCCACTTATCGGGATATATCTATTTGTATTTTTCGGACTTGGGGCGGAGGCGAGGAAGATGCATCGAGATAACATCAAATGGCTCGCACAATTGCTCGGCTGGAGACAGCATGGAAAAGAGGAATCGGGGGATACAGATACATCACAGTCATACAATTCCTTCTCTTCCCAAACAAAGAAGCTTTCAGCCACCTTCAAGCAGGTATTTTCATCGAATCGCAGCAGAGGGGTGACTATCGTTCCCTTTCAGATCAAAAGCGACATTTCACCGGGATGCCTAGAGAAGGGAGTCCTCGATATTCGTCTTACTACACCAGACCAAACCAATGCGAATTACCCACCACGACACTCTAAGCATAAGACGCTACTTCATCCTCCCTCTCCGCCATCTGATACTTCTATTGAAGAAGGGGACACCGAACCGCACAATGCGACCGACTTCTTAGGGAGCCAAAGAGCATCATTCCTTCCACGTTTTTCCATGGATTCCACCAATGACATTGTGGAAACTAAATTGCATTCCCTACCACGTCCACAATGTAAACCACCACTCCCCCCACCAAGCCAATCCACCAATTCTGTCGATAATACGAATATGGAACAGAGTCACCCGCAGCTCGCTCCTTTACCAGTTCCTCCTCCAGCCTACTCATCCACGACCTTCCCAAGAGCGCGCCAGTCCTGGATATAGAAGTTCGGTGGTCCATAGTCTAGCTGGTTCCATTATGTTAGGTTTGTGTCCTTTCACTTCTACTCTTAACGACTTCTGGATTTCTGTTGTACCTACCGTCGCGGAGTCCCATGATAAACGCCACTTTGTATCAATATGACCCTAAACTACAGGGAACAAAATTACGCATAGTCTTTCATTGATAACACCATACGCTCCAATTTGAATGTATAGAACGATGACAATCGACTCTTCCCAATTACCGAGGTCTAGACACATAATGGAGACCGTCTCACCGTCAAGTTGGTATCTATCGCTCTTTGTGAGCTTTCAGTCTTCAAGTGGCCGACGGTGGTTGATGCGGAGGGTGCAAAAGGGCTACCATTACCTGGCTTACGGGCTTCTTCCCCACTGAGTTGTAGTACAGTAGACTTGTGCCAATGTGATAGCCAATCAAATTTCATTCATACTTGTCATTCTGATCATCGATTACCTATTGTTCGTCCAAAACCGTACTAGCCGCTCCAAACTGAATGGCCCTATAGCTTGGAAAGCCCCATGTCACCGATCCCATTGTGCTTGCTACCTCACTCTTGTATAACCAGCGGACCCAACGATTGCGCATTGTGACTCTCCCAAAATACGATATAATAAGCGG